GCGAAAGACGTCTTCGTCGCACGCCTCGGCCACAGGGCCCCTCGCCCCCCCCCCCCGCCCCCGGGCCCTCGTGTTGCACATCCTTGCCCTCGCTCCTTTTTATGTCATTTCTCCGGTACTCGTCGTCTACGGCACCCGCCGCCTCTCTTCTCGCTGCGACTAGTCCTGGCGGAGCACCGTCGGCCAGGCGCTCGTCGTCACTGCCGCCAGAGATAACGCGGAACTCAATCCCCCCCGCCCAAGGTCCTCGCAACTCCACGTCACAGCCAGACCCCCAATCCTCGGACACGACCTCCATCCCGCCAATCTCCGCATAAATGACACGCGTTTGCCTATCATTGCTCAATCGCTTGGGGGGTCCAACCCCTGTTAGGCCACGGCGACGTTGAATAGCTGGCCCGTCTCCAACGACCCAAGTGCCCATTAACCGGCGATTGCTAACCTTGCCTTGCCGGGAACTGTCGGGCCCCACCCCCATCCGAGCGGCTGCTGATTCTCTCTTGGATGTTCGGGTCATCGTCTCTTCGGCCATTCGATAGCAGTTTCTCGACATTACGCACCACGCAATCCGTTGGCGCCGCCTCCTACCGCCATATCCCAGCACCGAAAAACTCCCAGGGTGGGCAAGATAGCCATGCACTCCGACATCCCCATCGCGATCCCACGAGCGACTGACGGCTGCGCATCTGCAGCCAAACCTCGACTGGATACCGCCATCGATAAGATCACTCTGGCCTTAACCTCTGCGCCTCTCGCGCTTGGATCTGGCTGCCAGGGTAAAAACTTCACGCTGCTTCCCTGAACCACGTCACTTATCCCGCCCACTCCTTCTACACCTGAACTCGCGAGACTTGATGACGCCCGCTGAATTGCCAGTGGTTGACTCTTGCCTTGATTCACGCATTTCCAAAAATACACCACCACCACCCAACCTTGCTTCGAGTCACTTCTCCTTTTCTCAAGCGGAGTCTTCGAATGCACGATGCATTCTCCAAACTCGGGCGACGGATTGTTGAGGCCCCGCCCTCGGCATCTTTCGCAAGCCGTTTTACCGGCGGCGCCCATCGCGAACTTGGCGGTAGAAGACGCACAAGCCTCTCTCCAAGATATGAGAACGCTGTCTGCCCCGAACTCAATCTTGTCGCGTCGTCCGAAGCACTCTGTGACGTACTAAGTTGGCCTTTCACTGCCCCGATTGCCCTCTCGACCCCACCACTGGCTTCTGGGGCCCCCGACAAAACTGACTTTTACTCCCATGTCGAGGCCGCGCGAGGCTCCGGCCGCTTCCGCGAGCGCCACAACGCATGGTCGACCATCGCTCTCGAGAATCATTCTCGCGACAAGCCAACAGAATCATACCACAAATGCGGATTTACTCCCGCTGAACACGACCCGAATCCAAGAACTCTGCGACCCGGCAACGCATGGCGACGATTGGGTTATTCTGCTCTCTTCCTCGATTTCTCACCTTTTTTTCCGCTCAGCCCCACGCAGCCACCTGAAATCACTGGCACGCCTTGCCCTGGCGCCCCAAACTCTGCCGTGCGCGACCTGCCCCTTGTCTGTTCTCCTCGTGGGCAACGCAGGCACCGGCTTCGACAAGGTAGATGGACATTATTGCTCAACTCAACTTCGACTTTGCCCTGACTCAAGCCACGCGCAACCTCGTCGGGCACCTCGGCCTCATCACCCACGAACATCTTCCACGCCACTTAACTCAAGGCCCCCTTCCTCGCCCCGTCGGTCGCCCCCCGAATTCACGCTGGCTCGATTTTGACTGGGGGCCGCGGGCTCAGCCAGACACTGCAGACAAAGTCCGCCAAGTGAGTCCACTGTAGGGGGAAAACCAACATCTGCCCTCGCCGAACTCCCCCACCTCCCTCGCCCCCCCTCGACTCGCAGCTCCCCCCGGGGCCCGCATAGCGAACTGGAAGTCGCCGGTCTTCTCGCAAATCGTCGCCGCGTCTAGTAGGACCACGCTCAAGGCAACTGCTGGATCGCCCATCTTTGCCCCGATCTAACACTACGCGGCCCCACGTTTCAACCGTCGCACGCGCAGGCGAACACCGCGGTGACATCGGCTACTTGAGTGGGAACGCTCACCGTTGATCCCTTTTCATGCATCTGCACACTAACCCGTTGCCTACGGTTCCAGATGACTGACCCATTAGCTCGGTAGACGCCATTCTCGGGGGCTCCCGTGAGTTCGCCTTGGAAATGAGTTCCTGCACTCGGGGGCCCGACAGCGTCGTGGGCTCCTGAATCCACGGCGACAGCAATCATCTCCACTCAAGTTTCCTGGCCCCTCACCGGCACCTAATCGACTTCTTTTTCTCTGCCGCCATATCCACTCAGCGTGGCTCGGCGCACTTTTGCATCAGACTGTCCACCTACTTATACACTCCGAAACTCGGCGGTCCAAATTGGCGCCAGGGTTGCCTTTAACACCACGCTCACGCAACGTATCGTCCTGACCCCAAACCTGGCTTCCCGGTTCCTCCTCGTCACCACATGGCACTGGGTCCCCCACTCCAATGCCCCTCTGCGTGGCCCTGGCGTCTCGGCCGCATCATGGCCCCCACGTTCGTCGGCAAATCCGCGCAAATCGACGCCGCGGCAACCCGGCCCTGGTAGGGGATGTCCAAACATACGCGCGGGCCCTCCTGGGCCCCCTGCCCCCCCTTTACCTGGACTGACCTCATTGGCGTTCTTGGAGCAGCGGGCAGCAATGCGGCCCTCGTCGCAATTTTATATCCCCTCTCACCGACCAGCGCAACCCCTCCATTGCCTCTCCATTTTCCAGCCCGGCGCTGGGACCCCTCGGCAAACTCCGGGGGGCCCAGTTTGCAGCCCCCCTTGGCGCGACCCCCTCTGCAACCCTTGGCGCCTCGATGCCCCCTCTGCATCCCCCTGCCCGCGCCCCTCGGCCACCCTCGAACCCTCTGCATAATCCATGTTTTTTTTCCGCCCCCCTTTTCCTTGAACGGCGCCACTGGCGGCGCCGCCCTTGGCCGCGCGCCCGCGCCCCCCACGCCTATAGCGCATGGGTCATTTGTCCCCACCTCCTCCTCCTCTACAATTTCACTAACACTGCTTTTCTCTGCCATATCTTCCCCAGCCCAGGGCCACCAGCGACCTGCCGCATCGTAAAAACCGGCATCGTCTCCATTGGCTCCCCGATTTCAACTGTCATCTAACCTGGCCAATGACCATTGCATCGGAGGTCCTCGCGTCAGCGCCGAGCCTTTTGCCCCGAGCCCAATCCTCGCACTACACGAAGGCATGTTAGTGAATGCCAATGTTCCTGCACTCGGAGGTGCCAAGGCAATCTTGCTGCCAGTCACGAAGCCAATCGCCTGCATGGGCTACAACGACACTCAAGGCTACAAACCTGCATGACAAAAGTAATGAATAGACCGGACTATTTTCCAATGCTTCTACTACCTCACTCCACTGTTCAAGCTGCACGGCCACCTCAGTCATGACCTTCTGCACTCCGGGTTTTTATGGTCAAGTTCAGGATGCACAGAAGGGTAACCCAGTAACCGCAGAGTACCACTCGTACTTTGCTATGGGCCACCAACACATCTCTTTCACGAATGCCATCAAGATTCCCCCGGGACTCTGTCCCCTCGGCGTTGTCTTCATGCGAATACCAGAGATCCTCGTCCAATTCGGCATACTCGTCGCCGTCCTGCTCAGATTCCCCTTTCTTGTCGTCCTCCATTCGTTTGATGTCCGACACTTTGGTGCACTCGCTAAATGAGCCTCCGATTCATGATATTAATGAGACCGTCCTCTTCGTCATCGGGAAGTCCCCCATCCAGGGTTTCGGGCTTGTTGCTCGAATTCATGAAGATTTTCCAATAATCGTGTTTCACTTGAACAAGTGCATTGAACAGTTCTTCGCTCCATTATCTGAACTTGGTCCCGTCACCTGAGACCGTCTTTGACGAATGAACAATGTTGTGTTCACTCACTGGCTTGTTTCCACCTCTCCACTTGCCCTTGCGTTGCCTGCGAACTGCATTGCCGCAGCAATGTGGGTAACATGCTCCGAAGTGTCCGCTTGATGTTGAACTATTCCACCACATATGTTTGTAAGTTGTTGAAAGCTCTCTTGGAATACATTTTGCGATCGATGACCGGAATCAGGGAAATATTCATGTTGTATGTCATCTGTAACAGTCTGAATGTTTCGTCGGTACAAACAAACCTGGTGCCCTCTGTGGCACTGCGCTCAAACAACCACTGCATGCCTTCGCGATCGGCTTTGAGCGCCGTGCTCATGTACCTGAAGTCCCCGTTCTCGTAGCTGGCGTTGCACATCTCCGCAAACCAGTTCGCCCCTAGCGTGTACCGGGCTCTCGTGTTTACATCAACGACACATCGTGACCCCGATCGTGAAGTCCAGGGTTGGCTGGCGCAGCTGCAGCTGCCACCGCCGCCATCACTGCTCTGGAACCCGTGGGGCGAATCACGGACTCCGCTACCATGAAAATCTGGCAGGAGCTTAATCACGAAAAGGCAGCAGTGCTTGAGCTAAAGGGCGAAGTGTCTCCACTACATGACGTCGCTGCCTAACGGCCCCTCCTCCAGGCGTGGGGGGAATGATTTCTACGCCATATCCTCCTCCTCCTGCTTCACGTCATGATCCGCCTCTTTTTCTTCCACGTTCCCATATCGCACCCGCCTTGATGGTCAACCCTCTCACCCATGGGGGGAGGACACAAAAGAGAAGGAAAAGGAGGACGAAGAATACTAAGAATAGGAAGAAACGGGAGATAGTGACGTGCGCACGCAAGTCCCATCGGCCAGACGCTGTTCCTAGCTGCACGGCAACCGGAAGGAGGACAATAACGAGGAGAAGGATGACAGACGGAGGAGGAGGAGGAAGAGGAGGAGGACGACGACGAGGAGCAACAAGGAGGAAAACAACGGACGACGACGTCGGCGCTGCGACCGCGCTGTGAGCCAGGCCAGCCTCCTGGGGCCCGGGCCCCTCCTTCTGCATGGTGGTGGCCAGCACGGAGAGCACGTCAGCGAAGAAGGGCCTGCCCCCGGTGGGGATGCGCCCCGGCCGCCCCCGCCGTTCTCCTGCAATTTCCGCGGCTGCTGCTGCACTGCTACTCTGTGAAAAGATCACCAAGGAAGGTTCTTGGCCCTTTTCGGCCTCCGGGAGCCCTCGCCGGGCCCCAAGACCGTCCAAAAACTACTTGGGAGGAGAAGCTGGGCCCGGGGGAAGGGTCCGGACGTCCAGGGAATCGAGGAAGTCAAGACATCGCATGTCTGAGACCGAAACTGTGTTCGAGCCAGGAAGAGCACGAGGGCGGCAGAGAAGAGAACCCACGAGAATCAGGCCGCTGCAAGAGCAGCAAGGATCTGCCGGTCGGGGAAGGGAGAAGGGAGGAAGACCCAGGATCGAGGGCCCGTGGGAAGGAAGAGGAGAAGGAGGAAAACGAGGAGGAGGAAGAAGACGATGATGAAGACGACGATGACGATGACGATGACGATGACGATGACGATGACGATGACGATGACGATGACGATGACGATGACGATGACGATCACGATCACGATGACGATGACGATGACGATGACGATGACGATGATGATCATGATGGTGATGATGATGATTATGATGATGGTGATGATGATGATGACGATGAGTATGATGCTGGTGATGATGATGATGATGATGATGACGATGATGATGATGATGATGATGATGATGATGATGATGGTGATGTTGATGATGATAATGATGATGGTGATGATGATGATAATGATGATAATGATGATGATGATGATGATGGTGATGGCGACGACGAGGATGAGGTTGATAATGATGGTGATGATAACGATTGTGATGGTGATGGTGATGGTGATGGTGATGGTGATGGTGATGGTGATGGTGATGGTGATGGTGATGGTGATGGTGATAATGATGATGATGGTGATGGTGAATGTGATGGTGATGATGATGATGAAGAAGTTAATGCTGATGCTGATGCTGGTGACGATGATTATCATGTATCCTAAAACCTCCTGTGTTGAGTCGGTTCCTCGCTTTGATCCGCAGCGCGCACGCCTCCATCTCCTTCTCTACATACCCTCCTCCTTCCTCTGCACTCCGCGTGTCAATTTCGGTACACCCATCACGCGCCCCGCAGCCTCATGGGGAGCTCCACCGACGTTCTCAGTGGGCGCAGCCGCATGGCGTACCAGCCATCGGTTCGGCAAACCCCATCCATGTCTATATCCGCCGATCCGGCGTGTGAGTTTCAAGGAGTCTCAGCTACAGCCTCGAGGCTGAGCCTCAGCCTCTGGGGGGGTTGCCGGGGTGGCTCTGCCAGGGAAGGGGGGATGGATGGGGGGGGGGGGGGGCGAGTTTCCGGCGGATGCGGGGGGGCTGCTTTTACAGAAGGCTCTAATCTCGAGGATGCGCTACAAGGGTGGCCGCGGCCGCAAAAGTCTCTTAGGACGGTCTACGAAAGTCCCGAGATCCCGAAAGATCGCCCGAACACGCCCAAGATGGCCCCAAGACGGCCCAAGAGCCTTCCAAGACGTCTGAAGAGGCCTCCAAGAGGCCTCCCACGAGGGCCCCCAGAGGCAAAATCGTTGATTTCCATTGTTTTTTTTCATGTTTTTGGGGTTGTCGCTTTTTTCGGCTTTCCGACGCTCCAAGACGGCCCAAGAGGCCCCCAAGACCGCCCGAAGACGGCCCAGGAGGCCCCCAGACAGTCCCAAGACGGCCCAAGAGGGCCCCAAGGCGGCCCAAAAGCTACCCAAGACGGCCCAAGAGGCCCCCAAGACGGCCCCAAGAGGACCCAAAAGAGGGACGAAAAGCGGAAAAAATCTAGCCTTCCAGCCCACGAGGCCCCCAGGAGGCCCCAAGAGCCCCCAAGAGGGCCCCCAAAAGCCCCCAAGAAGCCCCCTCGACGCCCTGACAGGCTCCTGTGCGAGTGTCTGTGTGTGGTGCGTGTCTGCGAATGTCTGTGCGTGCTAGTGTCTGGCGTGCGCCTAGTGTGTCTCTGTATGTGTGTCTGCCGTATGTGCATTTGGTCGTGTGCGTGCGTGAGGTGTCCGCGTAATATGTGTGTCCGAGCGACCCGGATCGGCGGCACTTGCCGAAGGCCACTACAATATATATATATATATATATTATATATATATATATATATATATATATAAGATATATATATATATATATAGACAGAGAGAGAGAGAGAGAGAGAGTCATTCCACCTACGGTCTCAGTGAGCCCGACCGCATGGCATACCAGTCCCCGCTTCGGTACACCCCTCACACGCGCCGTGGCTCCTCAGGGAGCTCCACTCACGGTCTCAGTGGGCGCGACCGCATGACGCACCAGCCCCCAGTTCAGCACACACCCCACACGCTTCGTGGCCCCGTAGGGAGTTCCACCTGCATGGCGGCGCCCATTTCGGCAAACCCCTCGAGAGGACCGTGGCCCCGTAGGGATCTCCACCTGCGGCCCTGGTGGAAGTGTTCACATGACGGCGACGCCCAGTTGGGCACACCCTTTCAAGGATCGTGACCTCGTGCAGGAGCTTCACGCACGGCCTCGGTTGGAAGGTTTGCACGCGCACGTACGCCCGTGTCGGCGCACCCCTCACACACAAGCCCCACCATTTCGCCCCAGTAGGAAAGTTCGCACGCGTTTCCCCACGCATTTCGGCGCAACTCACACATGTCTCGCCCCCCGACGAGCTCCACAGACGGCCCCAGCTCCGTAAATTTGCATGCCCCCCCCTCCCCCCCACCACCACTAATCAACCCACCTTCCCACTCACCCAATTCGGTACATCCCTTACACGGGCCGTGCATGGAGAGGTCCTTCACCAATGTCACACGGAGCTGCCAATGAGTTGGGCCCCTCGCGAGGCCAGTTCACGAGACCAGTAGCTACCCAAAAGAGTCCGAAACCTCGATCATCGATCCTCCGGGAGGGAGGGGGGGCTCGTGTTCATCACCAACGTCGCACAAAGCTGCTCATGAGTTGGACCCCTCGCGAGGCCAATTCACGAGACCTGTAGCTGCCCCAAAAAAGCGTCCGAAACCTCGACCGTCGATCCTCCTGGAGCGAGGGGGGGCCCGCCCCGGGCCCGGGAAGCACCCCTCCCTCCCCTCCCTCCCCTCCCTCCCCTCCCTCCCCTCCCTCCCCTCCCGCCATGCCGTGCTCTACAATGCATCGCGTACCCTTTCGGGATCATCGCCCTGCTCAACATCCGACTGTGCGAGTAGAGAGGGGATCTACGCCATGGTAAGGGATGGGAGGGAGGGGTAGGATGTCAGATATGACGCGAGCGCACCTAGCTTGCCTCCCTCCCCTCCCTCCCCTCCCTCCCCTCCCTCCCTCCCCGCCCTCCACAATTACTCAATATGAATACTACTCTCCTCCTTCCCCTGATGACGGGGTTGGGAGTCTTCGCCCCCCCCCCCCCGCGTACTGTTTTCTTTACACACAGGATTCCCTGGAGTTGGGTTTTCGCCTGCATGTTTTTTTCAAAATGCTGCTCTCGCTGAGGCGCTGGCCTCATTTTCGGGCCCCGCTCGTTCCGAATCGTGCTCCCGCTGCAGCGCTGGCCTCATTTCCGTGCTTCCGCTCGTTCCGAATCGTGCTCCCGCTGCAGCGCTGGCCTCATTTCCGCGCTTCCGCTCGTTCCGAGTCGTGCTCCCGCTGCAGCGCTGGCGTCATTTCCTGTGCCATGCCACGGCATGCAATGCAATGCTAGGTTGCGCTCCGCTGCGCGATGCCATGCCTTCAGCTGAAGCTGTGATATGCAGTGCTTACGTGCCACGTCGTGCTATGCAATGCTACGCCTTGATCTTCAACGCCATGATATGCAATGTTATGTTCAGGGCCGCTGTGCGATGCCATGCTTTGCGTTGGAAAGCTTTGTGATGCAATTCTTCACTACGCCACGCCACACCATGCTGTGACATACTACGCGTTGCGGTGCTCTTCTACGCCATGCCATGCCGTGCTCTACAATGCATCGCGTACCCTTTCGGGATCATTGCCCTGCTCAACATCCGACTGTGCGAGCAGAGAGGGGATCTACGCCATGGTACGGGATGGGAGGGAGGGGTAGGACGCCAGATATGACGCGAGCGCACCTAGCTTGCCTCCCTCCCCTCCCTCCCCTCCCTCCCCTCCCCTCCCCTCCCCGCCCTCCCCGCCCTCCCCCCCCATCCCCCCCCTCCCCGCCCTCCCCGCCCGTTCCCGCCCGTCCCCGGAAGTCTCTCCCGGGGGGGACCCGCGGAGGCCTCCGAGAGGCTCTGGGGGGGGGGGGGGGCGTGCACGGCAGTGCGCCAGCCTCCCTGGCCCCGGGGAAGGGGGGGAAGGAGGGGAGGAGGAGGATCGGCATATGGAGGGAAGGGGAAGGAGGAGGAGGAGGAGGAGGAGGAGGAGGAGGAGGAGAGGAGGGAGAAGAGGAGGAGGAGGAGGAGGAGGAGGAGGAGAGAGGAGGAGGAGGAGGAGGAGGAGGAGAGGGAGGAGGAGGAGGAAGGGGAGGAGGAGGAGGAGGAGGAGGAGGAGGGGGAGGAGGAGGACCCCAGACGAGCCCCTACGACTGCACTACGGGATCCTCCCGGGAGGGGGATGAAGGCCCTCCCCTCTTCAAGCTGGGGTTGTTCATCTTCTCGTAGTGCTCGGTGAGTGCCGCGTAGTGTGGTCGCAGGAACTTCAGCGGCTTCGGGACCTGCAGGGGGGGGGCGGGCGGAGCGCGGGGGCCCACCGCGGAGGGAGTGGGCCTGCTCCCCTCCGTCCCTGTCGGAGGGAGCGGGGCGAGGGAAGAGGGGGGTGGGGGCCTCCCTGCCCCCCTCTTCCCTCGCCCCTCCCCTTTTGTGACAGAGCGTAAGCGAGAACAGACAGCCAGCCAAAACAAGAGCAGCAAAAAACGAAAAAGAAGGTCCTGGTGCCCCCGCTCCTTTCCTCCCCATCCACCTCTGCCACCGGAGCGGGAGAGGAAGGCGAGAGCGAGACCGAGGGCGGGGCGGGCAACAGGGGGGGCGGCGACAGCGAGCGGCCCTGGAAAGCCTGCGGGAGCACGGGGAGGCCAGGGGGGCAGAGGGGCGCGGAGGGGCCGGCGGAGGAAGGGGGCCGAGGGGAGGACGAGGGAGGGGAATGGCGCACTGAGTCTTCCACTCCAACCGGCCCCCTCCGCGCGCGCGCGCGGCAACGCCGCGGGGCGCGCCCGAGCGGGCACGCGCCAGGACACCCAGGCGTCGCGAGGGCCGAGAGCCCTCGGTGGGAGTCTGGGGTAGGAGCACCAGAGGCCTCCCAGATGGTGTCCGAGCAGATGGGGTCGGAGGATCGCGCCGCATCCCCGATGCATCGGCGCCGTCGGCGTAGAGGAGATCTCCCGCATCGCCTGTACGCCAGCAGATGCCGAGTGGCCCCGCGAGCGCACTCGGGGGTTGCTAGAGGTGCCCCTGGCTCGAGGTGCCCCCGGCTCTTCGCGGAACCTCGGAGCCCCTGGGGCCCTCTGGCGCTCGAGAGGGGCGCTCTGGAGGCCGTGGGGGCCTCCTTGGGCCACGTCCAGCTCCTCTTCCTCCTCCTCCTCCTCCTCCTCCTCCTCCTCCTCCTCCTCCTCCTCCTCCTCCTCCTCCTCCTCCTCCTCTTATTATTCTGATTGTTCTTATTATTATTCTTAGTATTAGTATTAGTAGTATTAGTATTATTCTTCATATCATTATTATTATTCGTCTCATTCTTCTTGTTATTATTAATCTTATTATTCTTAATATTCTTCCTATTAATATTCGTATGCTTAGTATTCTTAGTAGTATTATTATTATTCTTTTTCGTATTATTATGTTTCTTCGTATTACTATGCTTATTATTAATATTATTATTATTATTATTATTATTAGTATTATTCTTATTATTCATAATATTATTATATAACTATTAGTATTAGCATTATTAGTATTATTAATATCATTATTATTAATATTATTCTTATTCTTATTATTATTATCATTATTCTTGGTAATATTATTACTATTATTAGTATTATTCTTATTATTATTAGTCGTCTTCTTCTTATTAGTATTATTCTTATTATTAATATTATTCTTATTATTATTAGTATTATTGTTGTTCTTATTAGTATTCTTCTTATTCTTATTATTATTAGTTGTATTATTCGTACTATTATTATTATGATTAGTCTTTTTTATTAGTCGTATTATTATTATTATTATTAGTAGTAGTGTTCTTCTTATTAGTATTATTATTATTATTCGTTTTCGTCTTCTTCATATTACTCTTTTTCTTATTATTATTATGATTAATATTCGTCTTCTTATTATTATTATTGTTATTATTATTATTATTCGTCCTCCTCCTCCTCCTCCTCCTCCTCTTCCTCCTCCTCCTCCTCCTCCTCCTCCTCCTCCTCCTCCTCTTCCTCCTCCTCCTCCTCCTCCTCCTCCTCCTCCTCCTCCTCCTCCTCCTCCGCCCGCGGGCGCATGGGCTCGCGCGCAGGAGCGAGCCGAGACAGACACGGCCGCGGCCGCGCCTGGTGTCGCGGCGGCGCGGTCCTGTCGAAGGCGCTCCATGAGAGAAGGACGGGGACCCAGAGACCCGACGCTCTGGAAAAAATGGAACGGCCGGTCCTTGAGGGGGCGCAAAACCGCAGGGCGTTACGCGGGCATACAAATCGTAGATCGGCCGACGGGCCAGCGGCGCAGCGGCGCGTGCGACGCGCGACGATCGTTGCCCGACCGCACGGCGCGCCGCCCACGCGTTTCTTGGCATCTTTTTGCTGTCATGCGCGGGCCAGCTGCGTTCGCTCGCGCAGGCGCGCCGCGGGGATCGCGCACCACCCGCGGGCCCGAAAACAGGCCCAACGACCGTCAGAGAACGGCTCGGGAGCAAAAACCGGCCCTGGAGAACTGGTCCAAGCCAGGCATCGAAAAAGTTGGATGCGCCGGATGTCTGGGGAGCGGGAGGCCAGGGGGGCAACCCAAGGACGGAGCCAGGACGAGGATAAAATCGGCCGGGGATAATTTGAGCGCCTCTGAGATCCACAAGCTCTGGAAGATGTCTTGGGCGCAACGCCGCGGCCTTCTCTGAGCGTCCAGGAACGCTATGAGAGCGTTCTGGTGCACCCTGGAGCGGGTTTACACTCGGGGCGCTGAAGAAGGAACCCTTTTCGTTGGGGAAGGGCTCGGTGTTCCTTGATTGTTCAACAGTTTGCCTGAAGTTTTCATGAGGTTTCCCATAGGAGATCGAAGTGTAGCTTATGGGGAAAAGCGGCCTCGATCCTTGTATAGGGCTCCTTACGTCAACGCCCCGACTGTATCATCGTCCCAGCCCCGCCTGAAACCCACCGCATCCCGAGCAGGTGAAGGCAGGAGGATGAGGGAGGAGGAGGAGGAGGAGAAGGAGGAGGAGGAGGAGGAGGGGAAGGGGGAAGAGGGGGAGGGGGAGGAGGACAAGCTAGGTGCGCTCGCGTCATATATGGCATCCTACCCCTCCCTCCCATCCCTTACCATGGCGCAGATCCCCTCTCTACGCGCACAGTCGGATGTAGAGCAGGGCAATGATCCCGAAAGGGTACGCGATGCATTGTAGCGCATGGCATGGCATGGCGTAGAAGAGCACAGCGAAGCGTAGTATCAACTTAGCATTGCATTGCATGCCGTGGCATGGCACGGGAAATGACGCCAGCGCTGCAGCGGGAGCACGAGTCGAAACGAGCGGAAGCGCGGAAATGCGGCCAGCGCTGCAGCGGAAGCACGATTCGGAACGAGCGGAAGCACGCCGGAAGAAGCAGAAATTCTGCATTTTCAAAAGAAAAATGTGTATTGAAATGGCCTTTTTTCGGCGCCGCCTCGGAACTCGATTTTCCGGCGCCGGCCGGAACCGGCTCCTGACCCGGCCCGGGCGCCGGCCTGGGCGCCGGCTCGGGCATCTGGCCGGGGCGCCGGCTCGGGCGCCGGCCCGGGCGTCGGAATCGGTCCGGGAGGCCTCCGAGGCGCCGGAAGCAGAAATTCAGCATTTTCAAAAAAAAAAAAAAAATGATTAGAATGGCCTTTTTTCGGCGCCGCCTCGGAACTCGATTTTCCGGCGCCGGCCAGAACCGGCTCCGGACCCGGCCCGGGCGCCCGCCGGGGCGCCGGCTCGGGCGTCCGGCCCGGGCGCCGGCTCGGGCGTCCGGCCCAGGCGCCGGCTCGGGCGCCAGCCTGGGAGTCGGAATCGGCCCGGGAGGCCTCAACCAAAAAAAAAAAGTCTTAGAATTGCCTTTTTTCGGCGCCGCCTCGGAACACGATTTTCTGGAGGCGGCCGGAACCGGCTCCGGACCCGGCCCGAGCGCCGGCCTGCCGGCTCGGGCGTGCAGCCTGGGCGCCGGCGGAAATCATGCCAGCGCTGCAGCGGGAGCACGATTCGGAACGAGCGGGGCCCGAAAATGAGGCCAGCGCCTCAGCGAGAGCAGCCTTTTTTATATATTTAAAAATAAAATTAAAAAAAAAATTAAAAAACAAAAAAAAAAAAAAAAAAAAAAAAAAAAAAAAAAAAAAAAAAAAAAAACGAAAAACCAAATTCCGGGGAAACCTGTGTGTAAACTTTCAAGCCGTCATCAGGGGAAGAGGGAGAGTAGTATTCATATTGAATAATTGTGGAGGAGGAGGAGGAGGAGGGGAGGAGGAGGAGGAGGAGGAGGAGGAGGGAGGAGGAGGAGGGGAGGAGGAGGAGGGAGGAGGAGCGGCTTGAGGCCGAGGCGGCCGGGTGGCGAGCCCCCGCGGCGGCAGCACGAGGGCAGCACCCGGCGACCAGCCTCTTCTGCGCCCCTGCGGCAGGGGAGGAAGTGGAGAACAAGGAGGAGGAGGAGGAGGAGAAGAAGGAGGGGGAGGGGAAAGGGGAGGAGGAGGAGGAGGAGGACGAGGAGGAGGAGGAGGAGGAGGAGGAGGAGGAGGAGGGGGAGGGGAAGGGGAGGAGGAGGAGGAGGAGGAGAGGAGGAGAAAGGGGGGAAGGGGGAAGAGGGGGAGGGGGAGGAGGAGGAGGAGGAAAGGAAAGGAAAGGAAAGGAAAGGAAAGGAAAGGAAAGGAAAGGAGGAAAGGAAAGGAAAGGAAAGGAAAGGAAAGGAAAGGAAAGGAAAGGAAAGGAAAGGAAAGGAAAGGAAAGGAAAGGAAAGGAAAGGAAAGGAAAGGAAAGGAAAGGAAAGGAAAGGAAAGGAAAGGAAAGGAAAGGAAAGGAAAGGAAAGGAAAGGAAAGGAAAGGAAAGGAAAGGAAAGGAAAGGAAAAAAGGAAAGGAAAGGAAAGGAAAGGAAAGGAAAGGAAAGGAAAGGAAAGGAAAGGAAAGGAAAGGAAAGGAAAGGAAAGGAAAGGAAAGGAAAGGAAAAGGAGGAGGAGGAGGACGAGTGAAAACCCTGCAATGAACCCTCCCTACAAGTTCCCTCTTCACAGGCCCCATACAAGGATTAATGTTCTCTGAGGGGGGTGCAACGTTCGAAGACATCCGTCTGAAGATCGAGAACTCTGCCAGAACACCACTCCTGAGACTTCAACGCCGCGAATCACAGCAACTGTTGCGTCTTGACGACGACGACGACGACGACGACGACGAGGAAGTGGACGAAGACGAGTTTCCCCACAAGCGCGCACCCACAGTCACAGTCCACTGTCAATGGGGCGCCAACTAGACCGTGCACACATGCAAGAGAGCGGAAGAGAGAGGCGGGGCGGCAGCGGCGGAAGAAGAGATGATTGACGAAGAGGATGAGGAGCGCTGGGGCGTGCCGAGGTCATCGAGCTCGTCGCGGTCTTAAGCTCTGTGACTATGGTGGTCAGGGCCAGCTTGGCTACGCCCTCATCGGGGTCCTGGCGCCCCCGTCGTCGTCATCGACGACGGCGGCGATGACGACGACCACGGCGAGAATAAAAGAGGAGGAGGTAAAGACAACGACAAGGGTAAAAGAGGAAGACGACGGCAGTAACGACGATCACGACGAGGTTGAAGGAGCCGAAGGTGTACGACAAGGAAGACTGAAGACGATAAGAGGGCGCGCACATGCCCCCGTCCACCAGCCCTCCTTCATCCTGACTCCTCCTCCTCCTCCTCATCATCATCATCAACATCACCATCATCATCACCACCACCATCATCATCATCACCATTATCACCACCACCACCACAATAATCATCATCATCATCATCATCATCATCGTCATCATCATCATCATCGTCATCATCATCAGCAGCAGCATCGTCATAATTATCATCATCCCCACCACCATCATCATAATCACCATCATCAGCAGCAGCATTATCATGATCATCATCACCACCAGCATCAGCATCATCATCATCATCGTCATCATCACCAGCAGCATCATCATCAGCCTCATCATCATCATCATCAGCAGCAGCAGCATCAGCATCATCAGCATCGTCGTCGTCATCATAATCACAACATCAATCATCAGCAGTATCAGCATCACCAGCATCATCAACAACAGCATCTTCCGCATCATCATAAGATGCGTCATCATCATCATCAGCAGCATCACCATCAGCAGCATCATCATCCTCATCCTCATCATCATCATCATCATCATCATCACCCTCAGATTCCTCCTTCTCGTCGTCATCAACTTCACCAGCATCATCATCATCGGCAGCAGCATCACAATCATAATCATCTATATCATCATCATCATCATCATCATCATCAGCATCATCAGCATCGTCATCATCAGAATCAACATCATCATCATCATCATCATCATCGTCAACATCATTATGATCATCCTCATCATCACCGTCATCATCGTCTTCGTCATCATCATCAGAATCATCAGCAGCATCGCCAGCATCATCAACCTCATCTCGTCATGATCATCATCGTCAACATCAGCATCATCATCTTCATCATCATCAGCATCATCATCAGCATCATCATCATCCAGCTGTCCCCATCCTCGCCCACTTGCTACGCAGTATTTCGTCCCTCCAATCCCTATTCCGCTCTTCCACTCGCCTCGTCGTTTCATTTGGCCCTCTCATCTTCGACCGTCTCTTCCTCCTGCTCCTCCTCCTGCTCCTCCTGCCATCCAGCCTCCCCTCCGCCCATCCCCCAACCCTCCATCTTCCTCCGCTCCTGGTCTCGCGCCGCTCTCCCCCATCCTCCTCCCACGACGCCCCTCATGGCTCCTCCTCCGTCGTATACTATTACATCCTCCTTCTCCTCCTACGACTACGACTACGACGACTACGACGACTACGACGACTACGACGACTACGACGACTACGACTACTACTACTACTACTACTACTACTACTACTACTACTACTACTACTACTACTACTACTACTACCACTACCACTACCACTACCACTACCACTACCACTACCACGACCACTACCACTACCACTACC